CAAGTGGGAGAATTGTTAGTATTATGGTGCTTGATTTAGTCCCACATCGATTAGGATTGTGAGATGAGGTTCTCTATTTTGTTATATAAGCAACCTTATGTAAAGTTTGAGATACACACAGAAATAAAAATTACTTCCTAGTGTAGTCGTGGACGTAGGCATACATATTTTAGCCGAACCACGTTAAAATTCTTGTGTCGTTTATTTTTCTCTCCTTCATTCTTTCCTTTATTATTGTCTTGTTCCTAACAAAAATAAACTATTACAGTTGATAAGGAATATTTTGTTCTTGTAACCTAATAAAAAAAATGTAGAGAAAAACAATTCTGCATCACTTAAATGTGAAATTTGTTACACGAGATAATACTGTATGTAATGGGATAGAGTGAAAAGCATCGTATGCAACAGTGGGATAAAATGAAAAAACGCACAAAAGAGAACATTCAGTTGAATGTTTAGTTTGTTTCTCTTTTGCTTGCAGTACATTACACGAAAGCCAAATGTAGACAATGTTAAATTATTATGAATGTTTGGATTGAAGTGGTGGACGACGATGTATAAAAAGAGAATATTCTGCATGTTATGTTTATTTATTGGATTATATTTAACTCTTATAATAGGATAATAATTACTGAAGGTTCTGAAAAGAAAATATAATACACATGGTTTTTGCTTGTACGGAATAATATGGCATATTAATTGAATTATTTTTTAGAAAATTCTTTTCATTTCTATGTTTCTATTGGATGCATCTTACATGCGATCTTATCTTACTATCTTACCTATATTATCTTAGTCAGAAGCTGAAACATGGTCAACACTAATCTCATTACAACTGGGAGCAGGAATCTGGCACCGGTCTTCCTATGAAATGGAGATATTTATTTTTGTTGCTCGTTATAAATTTCACGAGGAATCTTTTGCCAAGTATATTTCTTTTTTCATTTGCAGCAAGTTTGATATCATGTCTCGGTTACTTCAGTGATATATTGAATGATATCATGAAGATATGGGATGTTCATTTTGGTTTGAACATTATCTCTTAACATTACGTGGGTTATTCAATAAATTTTATCTTTGATTTATTTAATATGTGAGCTGTGCTTATGACCATGTTTGAGATAGAGGAACATCATGCTTTCTGCAAAAATTATTTTTTCCTTTAGGTAAATGGATCAGTAAGTTCAGATGAGTGGTCATAAGATCTAAATGTAATAATTATGTTACAAAAGGATGTCACTTAGAGTTAATAATTTTTTATATAGTTTTTTAAAATAATATTAAATTTATCGAAGACGAAAATTTAAATAAACATGTTAAATTAAGGACATTTTGGCTCACATTCTGACAACCACTCTCACGGCCAAAGAAGAGAGAAAGAACAGGAGAAAGGTATCACCGTTTACCATATATTTGTATTTGTAGTAGTTGTATTTTTCTTTCCCGTCTTTTTTTTTATTCTTCATCACATTTTGTTTACAACATTTTAAATATTAAATATTATACTCTAACATTTAATTATTTTATGTAATAAGTTTGTATTTTTTTTAATATTATAGTAGTGCAAGAAAATAATTTAATATTAATACCGATATAGATATAACTTATATAAAAAAGTTACGTACAATATGGGTTACATAAAAAATTGATGTGAAATTTATTTTATAGAAAAAAAAATGGATAAAGAGGAGGATACATATACCATATTGATTTTTGTTATAATTGATATAGTATTAGATACTTCAATTTTTAAATATTTGTAGGTTATCATTTTTCAACCTTTAAATTTAAATTTTACAAGCAAATAATAAGATAATTCATATATAGTATCGTCCAAGAAAAATACTAAATAATTATATTTACGATTAATATCTATTACCTATAAAAACTATATTAATTCATAACTATATTAATCTACCACGTGAAAAAAAATCACTTTATATAATTTCTTTAATGGTGACTTTATTCAATAACTTGTTGTCTACAAAAATCTATAACAAATATATAATAGGTGTTATATTTGAAATTACACAATAATTATGGTAAATAAAAATAATTATTACCTAATTCTATAAATACATAAAAAATACACATAAAAAACACACTAGTTATGATTCACATATAATAAATGACATAGTATCTATACTCATAACTTACTTTCATATTATTTATTACACTAATATTTTAATTATTAAAAAGTCAATAATTTAAAAATTATAAAATTTTTCAATAGTTTTAATATAGAATTATATATATTTAACATAAATTTATTATAGATTATGCAATAACAAGGTGGATCTTTCATCTAAAATATTACACACATTCATGATATTATAATAACATGAAATATTGATTAACAATTTATAATACTGTGAAAAAATTCAAATATTAGATTAGAGGTAATGAAACATTTATACTAAAGCTATGAATAGGCCTAGTAAACAAAATCACTCAATGGTATTATTTATCAAAATTAATATCATCAATTCTTCATAAAATCTAAAAGATTGATTAATAATATTATATTAATATATTAAATATATAACAAATATATATTTGTACATACGCATTAATATAAAGAGTGAGAGGCAGAACTTTAGATGAGCTAACCTATACAAATTAATTATCATATAAAAATAAATTTATTATATATTTAATATTATTAATTGAATTTAAATTTTAGAAAATAAAATTTATTTCATCTATCATCTTTTTTCTTTCAAATAATGAGTTTATAATTTTTCTTTTTAGATATTTTATTCATATTTTAATATCAAAATAGAACTTCATAAAATATTAAAATAACAAACTAATTTATAATCAATAAAATAATATCAGTATTTCATATATTTATATCACACTGTACATGTTAATTTTTTATAATAATAAACAAAAATAATAAAAAAACAAAATTGTTTATTGTTTTTACTTGAAAAAATTTATTGTGAAGTATCTCCACTAATTTTTAACTTTTTATTTTATGTCTTCTTGAACAGAAGACAAAAAATAAACTAAAAACTAAAAAATAAAAAATTACAATTTTTATATTATAGAGATGAGATTATAGAAAAAAAAAAACTAAAAAATTAAAAAGAAAAATTTACAATTTTTATGTTATAAGGTGAAATTATGAAAGTGAGTTAATGATAAAAAAAAATATATATATATATATATATATATATAAATATAAAAAGAGAAAATGGGTGGCTGGTAAAAAAAATTGTAGTTGAAAAATGAAAAGGTAAAAGAAGAAAGATAAAAATATGAAAATAGAAAAAAGAAAAAAAAATAAGTAAAAACATGTAAAAAAATAAAAATAATATTTATTATAAATAAAAATAATAAAGAAAGAAAGGATAAAAAATTTAAATTTTATTTATATTTATAAAATAATTTTTATTTAATATATATATATATATATATATATATATATATATATATATATATATATATATATATATATATATATATATATATATATATATATATATATATATATATATATATATATATATATATGATTTGGGCAGGTCCCTTAGGTCCCCATTTGAATGTGGGGTTAGAGAAAGAATTTGTCTGATTTGTATTCTTTAATTCGTCTAGGAGATTATATTGATGAGTTTCATATTATTTAAAAATTAAGATTAATAATAATTTATATATATTAAAGATAAAATTATAATAAATTAAAATTTAAAATGAATAATTCCTCAAATAGACCATAATAATAATAATAAACAAGATAAACATCCAAATCCATACTATAAATTAATGTTCTTTGAAGGATTAACGTAATCATTGCATCGTTCAACGTTTAAACTAATCAACAATAAAAAATATGATATTCTAATATAACATATGTTAATTAGGATGTAATGTAAGTTTAGTTTGACTTATCATTGGATTAACAAATAATTTTATTTTATCCAATTTCAAAGAAAATTAAAAGTAAAAAAAAAAGATTTGGAAATTTTAATCCAATTTTGTTGATGGTATTGTTTGAGAAATTGTTTCTGGTCCAAGGATTTCAATTTGTAAAGAATGAAACAAAAGATTTGGAGATTATAAGATGCATTAAGTTTTTGTTTGTTTTTATTTAATTTATTAAAAGTATGATTGTTCTATCTGACAAATTTTGTAGTATATGGCAAAATTAAAATACGAACTTTGTATAAAACTTTTGTAATATGTGAGCATAAAGTATTTAACCCTTCACCTTATAAAAAAAAGTATTTTTTTAATATTAAATTTAAAAAACGATACTTTTATTAAAGAAATGGCAAATATAACAAAAGAGTTAAAAAAAAAAGTTACAAAGTGCAATTACAAGCCATACTCTTTACATATTTGAAATAAGTAAAATACAGAGCATCAGAAAGCAATCTATGGAAAGAGATTTACAAATAATCATTTCACAGTTGTCTACACTGTCTTAACTTTTCAAACAGCTTATTTATGTGTTATTAAAATACCAATTTAACTTTATTTTTATACACTTTTAGTTTTTATTAGGATACTTTTGCCATTATTTATAAACATTTGTTTTTTTTTTACTAGTTTCTCCAATTGTAGAAAATAGAAAAAAAAATAAAAAAAATGAAAGGATGAGGTATTGCACTCTTGCCACCTTATTTCCATCCAATGAAAGAAAGGTTTGGTGGTGTCCAAGGAAACGCAGTATAAAGTCAGTAACCGTGTCCCTTCGATATTCGAAATATACCAATACTAAATTGCTAATGTTTTTTCCACAGAATAAAAAATATAATTTTTAAAAATAAAATATCTGGTGCGAAGTTAATTGTTATACGTTAAACTTGCACATTAAGGAGCAAATCAAATTGATAATTTAGCGGTTAAAATATATTTACTTTATTTTTGAAAAGAGAGTTGGAAGCAGCTGAGCTGACACTAACCATATATAGCCATCCTCTCTGATGAGTGTCTCAGTCTCCAGTGTGAGGTGAAACCTGGAAATCAAAAAGGGGCCATCTTTGGCACACATGACGATGAAGATGACGATGGGCATGGGCTTGGGCATGGGCATGGGCATGGGCATGGTTGGCATGTTCCTCCTGCAGATGGTGGCATCATCGGATCTCCGACCTGGGTTTTACTCAAGAACGTGTCCCAAGGCGGAAGTGATAGTCCGACATGTGATGAAAAAGGCTCTTGCCAGGGAACCCAGATGCGTTGCCTCTGTCATGCGGTTCCAGTTCCATGACTGTTTTGTGAACGTACGTACGTAGTTAATTTTGGTTTTGATTGTAAATCTTTTTGTTGTGAGTGTTTGTTTGTTTGATTGATGATTCAGGGCTGTGATGCCTCCATGCTGCTCGATGATACACCGACCATGGTTGGGGAGAAACTGGCTCTCTCCAACATTAATTCGTTGAGATCATTTGAAGTTATTGATGATGTTAAGGAAGCCCTTGAGAAGGCATGCCCTGGAGTTGTCTCCTGTGCTGACATCATAATCATGGCATCCAGAGATGCTGTCGCTCTGGTTCGATCCTCCCTTTCTCTTCTCTCCAAAACCTCTTCCAATTTCGTTTCTTCTCACAACCCAAACTGATCTATGTCTCTACATTTTATCAATTCAAAACAAGTTGGTATATACTACATTATTTTAAGTATAACCTTCATTTTTTTTTATTTAGCACTAAGTTTTTGTAAAAAAATATTATATTTATTTTTTCTTTATCTACTTTTAAAGGAAAAAACATTCTATGAATGTCAAAGTTGAATGCATTATTAATTATTAATTTTACAAGTATGTATTTATTTTTATCTAATTCTTGAATACGTTGTATATCTCTCATAAATTAGAGCAAAATAATGAAAGAGATGTTATTAGGACGTTAAAAGTTACCTTTAAATATATACTACAGTTTCTTATGGAAAAAGTATGAAGGCTAGATTAAATGCATTTTCATATATATTAATTACTAGTACATTTCAAATCAGATATTAATAGCATTCTTCCGTTTCTTTTCTTGTGTCATTTAATGTTAGTGGAGAAGGATTGAGTAAAGAATTGATGAGTGAAACAGGTCGACAGCACATGTGTATGCAGTGGTTCTAGTATTAAAATGAGTTTTGTATACGTTGATTGCAGACTGGTGGACCCGATTGGGAGGTGAGGTTGGGAAGATTGGACAGCTTGAGTGCTAGTCAAGAAGATTCAAACGACATCATGCCCAGCCCAAGAGCCAACGCCAGTGCTCTTATTGATCTCTTCCAAAAGTACAACCTCACAGTGAAAGACCTTGTTGCACTCTCGGGATCTCACTCTATAGGCCAAGGTCGTTGCTTCTCCATCATGTTTAGGCTATACAATCAATCTGGAACTGGAAGGCCTGACCCTGCCATTGACCATAACTACAGAGAAGAGCTTGATAGGCTATGTCCCCTGGATGTTGACCAAAATGTGACAGGGAACCTTGACTCCACGCCTCTCGTGTTTGACAACCAGTATTTCAAGGACTTGGTAGCTGGGAGGGGATTTCTCAACTCTGATCAGACCCTTTTCACATTCCCACAGACAAGGGAGTTTGTGAGGTTGTTTAGTAGACATCAAGATGACTTTTTCAAAGCCTTTGTGGAAGGCATGCTGAAAATGGGTGACTTGCAGTCTGGTCGGCCTGGTGAAGTCAGGACAAATTGCAGAGTGGTCAATGCTCGCCCGGCACATTTGCTGCTTGAGTCTCAGCTCATTCTCGAGAGTAATAATAAATCAATATTCTCAATATAAATAAATATATGCATGTCTCTTCAGATTCATGCATTTTCTCTCTGTTTCTCTCTCTATATAGATATAATAATGTGTTAACCAAGTTATCAGATCAATAAATTGCTGGGTGGTCTGTGTTCTGCGCTAGTGTGAGACGAGCTTTTTGGTACAAAATCAGTATATGGACTAACTAGAATTAGTTGTCTTGACAGCAAAGTAGCTTGTTTGCATAAGAAACCAAAAGAATCGTTTCCGTAAGCAAATTGTTGAAAATCCCTCCCCCAATTTATAAAGTGCTCAATGATTTATAAAAGTAAAAATATCAACTTTAATTTGCAACTTCATCTGTCACAAATTTCTAACTTAGGTGGTGAACACTGGAAGGTGAATTTAACTAATAATGGCTCAAAATGAGACAAACGTCACCTATGCTTTCACGTTTAAAGTCACTACTGCATCCATACTTCCTAAAGTAGCTGATATTAGCTATTGAACGGTCAAACCTGCATAAATTTTATTAGCCGTTTAAAAAGGGAATGGTACGATTATAAATTGATTCAATGTCTTCCACATGAAGTTCTTCAAATTTCGCAAGCCACAATCTACCTTAAGTTTTATTGATTGAGGTGTAAATTTTAATCTTGACATAGACAAACGATTAGAAAGTTAAAAATTATGATTCATAACTATCAAATAATAATCACTGTTGGAGTAAAAAACAATGATGATACCAAATCACCACTAAAACACAAGTTTAACTCTCTACAAGCAAAATGTATTCATGTCTTGTGAATAAAAAATAGGAAAAAGCTTCGTTTCTTACATGACTTCATTTGACTCAACTCAAATCACTCAAACAAATGTGCCTACTAAATGATGAGATTCCATAATTCTACTTTCAAACACTTCAACAGAGGCATAATTTCACTTGCAATTGTCTCTTAAAAACATTTACAAATGTCACAGAAGTACTAGAGTTGCAACCAAAAGCTTAAGTGAACCTAAACAGTAATAAAATAAAAACAAAACCTGTACTTGAGCGCTTCAGTTCCAATATCATTTCTTCTCCCAAGATCATTTCTTCCCCCAAGACCTCTTGCCTAAATCTTAACCTAACCACACAATTTCTAATATGCTATTGATCAAATCATACATAACGGAATTCAAATCCTTGTGCACAGAAGAAACTTTAAGACAGACTTTATTATTTCCAACCCAGTCACAGTAATCAGGACTTTTCTCAATACACTTTGCCTGATGGCCTAAGAATGAAATATGACATAGCAAGGACAAAAAAATAAAAAATAATAACCAAATTTTGCAAAATCACTATAGACTACGCAACATACAACAAAACCTTTACATAGAGTAGCCTTCCCTTAAAACATGTTGCCTGGCAAGATTTTCTGAAATCTCCCATTACACTAAATGTCTCCAAGCACAGGATGTTGCACAAAATGTACAATCTCAGCAGTAGCTACTAATACATGAACATCAATAGAAGCAAGTTACTCTAACAAATCCAAAAGGGGTGGCTGCTCAGCGTGTGACTTAGTATGAGAGGACCTAGTAGATGAAGCACTTCCCCTCCCTCTTCCTCGTCCTCTACCCACTGCAGATGAAGGGGGCGGTGCAAGTTTAGGCGCAATTTGTTCATTCTTGTTGGAAGAAAATATTGATCCAAGATCCGTTGCTGTTGACTGAATATTATTGTATGAAACATTTGATACTGGAAAAGCTTGATTTTGTTTTAGGAACCCAAGAGAATTCTGACCAAGGCCACTATTCAGGCTACCCGCTGTTGAACTAGTCCTTGAGTTCAAACTAATAGACTCTGTCGGACTTTGGGAATTAACAGACCAACTGATGCTACTTTGGGAACCCATATTGCTTGAAGTGTTTGTCATTGAATTAAACCCAACATTTAGTGGCATTCCTAAAGTACCATTGGTGGGTATTCCAGATCCACCTGATACACCATTAGGACGTGGAGGCCAATCAGCAAAAGGATCATCAGATTCAAGATTAGATGTGGATGAAGTTCCTTCTCCTATTGCCTGCTTTTCAGTATCACCAAATTGTGGGATAACACCAGGAGATGCCCGAGGTGGCCATTCTACATCTACTGATGGGCATGACTTGGTTGTTTGCTGAGCAGATAAAGCAGCTAAAGAGAAATGATTTTGTAAAGATGTTACTTGACCCACAGGGTTGCCTGCCATAGATGGACTGGCTTCGTCAATAGATATCTGGGTAGAAGAGGCAGCGCCCTTTGTTTTGGGACCCCAATCTTCATCCCAAGAGGAGCTTCTTTTTGTTGAAGCAGGTACAGAGGTGCTGCTTGTCTGCCGGGCTTCGGATTTAAGACCATTAACCAAGGGAGGTAGTTTTACTACATCTGGCATTCCAGAATCGGTCACAGCCACTCCTCGCTTCTCTTCTATTTTGCTGTTCAAAATAGACAATTCAAAAAACTATTAGAGATGTTTGTCAGAGATCAAGAATATAGAGGGTGTGAAAAATTAAAGAAAGAATACTGGAGCATATCCTTGACAAAGAGCATATATTTGGCAAACTGTTGAACATTCAATTGTTGAGCAGTCAGGAGGGGCATAAGCAATGGAAGAACGTGCTCAGCTACAAATTCTACTCCGTACTGAACATGAGAGAAATCAAACAAGTCTTAGGTATGACTCCAAATACTATTTAGCAACAACTCTAACTGTTATTGATCATAGAGTAAATAAAATACAACGGGAAAAGTATGTTTCTGATCTCTACTTTTTCAAAAATTTATCTTTAATCCATATACTTTTAAATTGATCAATTCAATCCTCTAACTTTTGAAAAGATATGATTTTAATCTTTTTTTATACCTAAATTCGACACTTAATTATGATTTTTCACCTTAATAAAATTGATAAAACCACTACATGTGATTTTAATTATTATTTATATCTAAAGTTGATATTTAGTGATATTTTTTACTATTATAAAGTTAATAAAGGACTAAATTGATATTATTTTTAACATTTGAAGACTAATTTGTTAACTTTTAAAATATAAGGACCACAACATATTTTCACGAAAAGTACAAATACCAGAAACATATTTAACCCATATAAAAAATCTATGATTCATGTCAGGCTCATCATTGGAAATATCACCTGCTTGAAAATAGAATTTGCAACCCCCAGTGTACACATAAGGGTTGGAGGGGAACGGTCAACAGCAGTACAGCGTTGAATTGTTTGCATGATGTCCAACACAGCATGTTTATCGAGTCGGATTACCATATCTCCTAAGCACAGCAACGCATTGACTCTAACCTGTCAAACCAAAGAGAGAAATACAGATAACAGGTCTGAATATAAGGTGAAGCAGATGTACCCAGCATTGCAAACTCAGATCTACCTAAGATTGGAGATAGAAAAGAAAAACATGAGATTATAACATGAAAATCCTACCAATTATATACAATTATATTCAAGGATACACTCAGCAAATAACACGAATAAGTCATAATAATTATAATATTACAATCAAATCTAGCTGTGTAAAAAAATCACATCTAGCATTTAAGAATCTTCTAACACTGAATACATATCAGATACAAGTTTGCAAGGTTATGTACAAGTACAAGCCAACACAAAGGGCCGCAGCCTTGTAAGAAAAAAAAAAGGCTCCTAACCTATCAAAGATAAACTTATAACAAAATAGGTTTCTAAAACTGTGAGTTAGTTGTAGTAACTCTCAACTTAAAGAAAAAAAAAAAAAAAACTGAGATTAGGTGGCAGAAACAGGTAGTGCAAAAGCATCGCTCACAGACCAGCATAGCTCAAAATTTGGATTACCAGAAACAGATTAGCACACTCACAAACCAAAATGTGACCATAGAGGAAGGTTGCAGTCACATAATCCAATCAAGAATATCACGCTCAAAATCATTCACACAGAAATAGAGGTGCCAGAAATCAGTAACCTGTCACATCCCAGAACCAATCCAGTGCACAAAATCACAGTTGAGCTTTAAAAACACAATAGCAGGAAGGTCCAAAGAATCAGAAGCCACAACACTCACTCAACAAGGATTTAAAGAATGAAGCATGAACCTCACCCGAATATTTATAATGCAATTTGAAATAAGATAATTATAACAACAAAATCAACAGTATTAACAATGGAATATTCATGTTAATGGAGGAAATATGAGGAACATGAAAATATGATATGAAACTTTGAAAATAACTACCATTTAATTAAATAACAACCATATAATCAAATAAGGATCCAACTATGCTGACTTAGGTTAGATGCTAAAAAGAAACCACATATATATGTCAAGCTGAGGTATTGCAAGTAAAGATAAAAAAATTCAAACAAAATAATAACATACCGCAGCAACTGTTGTTTTAAGTGCTAATCCATGAACACGGGGTAAAACCACTTGTTTGACAAGCTGAAAGGTAGAACAAAATAATTAAAAAACACAATAGGTAGTCCTGCTTTTAATACAAAAAGATTTGAATTAAAGTATACACAAAAAATGCCAATGATTATCTGATTATGGGCTGGACAAAATCATATTATAATATAAACCTCAATGGAGAAATAAGGTTACAATGTAGATGGTAAGGATTATTCAATTTATTAGTATTGGGCATTGGCCAGGGCTTGTACTAGCAGTACTAAAACTTGTTATTCAGCCTAGCTCACCTAAGTTGCATTTGAACTTATTATCAATCTCAATACATTGTTAGCCTTTATTCTACATTTTTCCTTTTCCTCGTCCAAGTCAAATAGTTTGAACAGTCCCCAACAACAGACATTGCAAGTTGAAACAATATAAGTTAAGAAGTGTGATCCCAGCTCATCACCAGTTTGCAAAGTACTAAAATTCAATGGCAAACATGTGATAATTTAAAAAAACCAACTACTCAATTAGAAAAGAGAACTCACCTGGGCATCTAGTTGTTTGGCAAGGGATACAGATTTTTTCAGGACCTCTTCTTGCAAACGAGCATCATTATCATCATAGGCCCGAACAATCATTGGAAGAACATGAGAAATTAAATGCTCTTGACTAGTCTAAGAGAACAATAAATGGCATAATAAGTTGGAATAAACAGAGTCACTAGATACAGAGATTTTTCAATCAACAAACTAAGGAAACTAACACAAACCCTCAACTACCTTGTTTATTATAAGATCAGCATGCTTCACAAGAAGTAACAGTGTGTCACCAGAAGCAGTACTCAACACAGGGACAAGGGCGGGAAGTGTAGATTGCTCAAAATCATTCTTGTCCTGAAAAGTAAATTATTCTTTATAATTCAAGTTCATGAATTTCTTTTTTCATAAAATGAAATAGTAATCTATTGTGCCCTTGTGTAGATCTGATTTACTAATGATACACTAACCTTGTTATCAAAAACCAAAAAGAAATAAACAGTTGCAACTAAATATTAACTCATTTCATCATTACAGAGACTGAATTGTTAGTTTCTTAAACTATAGATCAAGATAAAGCAAAAGGCGGAATGTTTCCATTCAAATAAAGCACGAACGCACAAGCAAGGAGATGTCTGATAAATTACCAACCAGTACGGCAGGAATAAAAGTCTTATTAAAATATAAGAAAAAAGGGAAGCATTGAGCTGAATCCGTGTGTTCCTATAACAGCATGGGTGATTTATTCATGAGAAAAGAAATCAATATAATAAATAGAGGAAATTTGGTTTCATATAATAATAAATATATGATACTAGAGTAAAGACAATTGTTACTAAAAAATAAAGATATGTGCTTTATTTTTATAATTATATTTGCATGAGGGAGAGAGAAACAACCAAAGCCTCATCCCACAAGGAGTATTAGAGTTTGAGGAGAGAACAAAAACACACAAAAAATAATAGAAGAACAGGTGTATTCAATACATTTGAATATAAAAAACAAAAACTGTATCAAAAGACACTGTAAGATCAATTATACCAGACCCAAAATATAAAGACTGAAATATGCAACCGTAACAAACATAACTGCCTAATAACTGAGCAACGGAACAATCATAATCACCTAATAACTGTAAGATAACTAAAGCAAAAACTGCAACAACACTCGTACCAAACTAATACCCCCTCAAACTCAAGGTGAGGGAGATGAAACAACAAAATTCCGAACTTTGAGTTTGGACCAAAGAAGCTGAAAGCGGGTAGGAGAGAGGCTTGGTAAGAGCATCAGCCCACTGATCCAGACTGGAAATATGAAAAACTTCAAGCTGATGAGCCAAGACTTGATCCCTAACACAAAAAACATCAATTTCCATATGTTTTGTTTTGGAGTGAAAAACAGGATTGTGAGCAATGGCAACACCACTTTGATTGTCATACAACATAACTGGACTGGAGAAGGAAATAGATAGTTCTTTTAAAAGTGATAGAATCCACAATAGTTCAGCTGAAGCTTGAGCCAAACTTCGATATTTAGCTTCAGTGTTGGTGATGTGGACATAAAGGCCCAAACCCATAACGAGAAAAATCAAGACCAAGATCCAATCCAAGACTTAGGTGGACCTATGACAAGAGGCAGACTCAGAAAAACACAAGAGGCATTGCAATACAAAGTGACCAATTTGCTAAAGGGCCAACTATTAAAAGATCCAAACATGGAGGAGTCTAGACCTATCACATGCATAGAATGTTTGGAGAGCTAGGAGGCCCAACTAAAAGATTTAGTTTTTATTATTATTATTATTTTATTTGCTACAGTGGGGATTTGAACCCAAGACCCAAAGCTTATAATGTCTTCACTGAACCATTTGGGTAACTTAACTTTACTTGGGATATTAGGATTTTAATTTATCTTTATTTTCTACAATAAGACAAACTCATAAACTTAAGTTGTATTAAACATTTGGGAATTCAGAATGAACGTACGTAATATTCAGAATCTCTTTGTGAGTTGTTGCTCTGCTAGGATTCTTTCTTGCATCACTTGATCTTATCAAGAATTATTCGATTCTTGTGGCGATCCTTCTTGGCTTATCAAATATTCTTATTTGTGGCGCCTACGGTATCCTTTATTTTTTCTGTTTTCTATTTCCAATCAAATCAACTCTTAAAACCTAACCCTAAATTGTTTCCCTTCTATTTGAGTGTCGTCATTTGGTATTCAGAGCAAGGTTCAAAAGCGTTAATGTTCATCGCACTGTTCACCGACTGTTCATCGACACCGTTCACGGTATTGTTCATTGTTACTGTTCACTTGTTACCGTTCACGAGTCTTGTTCATTTGTCATTGTTCACGTGTACTCGTTAAAAAAACTTACTTGTTTATGCAATTTTGATATTGAATTTTATTTAGATATATATATATATATATATATATATATATATATATCAAAGTTGTGTTTGAAATTAGTTTTCTGCATAAAAGAACAAAAAAAAAAGAAAAGAATCAAAAAAGGAAAAGAATCAAAAGATGAAAAGAATAAAAAAAAATATATATATATATATATATATATATATATATATGTGGCAGTTGTTCTTTTTTTTAAATTTCAGTGCACATTAGCTGTTTGATAAAATTCGTAAGTGTCACGTGTCTTTGTCTAATCTTTGTTTTCCCATATAGTTTAAATTTGTCTTGCTTGTTATTAGTAGTAAAATTGTTCTTTGCTACTTGTCCTTTGTTGGTACTACAATTCTGTTTTATTCCTTGTGATTGCTACAGTTGAAAGTGATTCTTGAACTATAGATTGTTTGATTCTTGTAAGAACCATAAGTCAGAGAACGAGTGGAAAAAGGCAAGAGTGCATATTATACAAAAGCCAAATTGAGAGTAAACACGAGTGGTACATCTTTGAGTGCAAACACGTGAGAAGAGTGGTGAGGTCCTATTACTTCATTTGTTTGGTCCTTTCTTTTTTTACTTGAAAGATGGCAGGTGCGGGTGGTGGTACCCCTCCTCTAGGGGGTGACAATAGATTATTGATTGATGCCATTACGGACCCAAATGCAAAGAATGTTGATGAGAACATACCGAGGAGTTGTATGGGAGAATTGAACTAGAAAATCAAGGAAATGATGATGATGGTGGAGGTAGAAGGAGGAGAAGGAGAAATAATGAAGGTGATGTTAGAGATAACAGAATTGAAGGAGTAAAGCTGAACATACCCTCTTTTCAAGGAAAGAGTGATCCAAAAGCATATTTGGAGTGGGAAATAAAAATTGAGCAACTGTTTGCATGCCATAATTACATAGAAGATAAAAAGATGAAGGTGGCAGCCATGGAATTCACTGATTATGCTCTCATTTGGTGGAACCAATTACAAAGGGAAAGGGTGACATATGAAGAACCCTTGGTGGAAAGTTGGGAAGAAATGAAGAGATTGATGAGAAGAAGATTTGTTCCTTCTCATTATCAAAGAGATCTTCACAACAAGCTCCAAAGACTCATACAAGATAGTAGAGGTGTTGATGAATATTACAAAGAGATGGAGGTTTCCATGATTAGGGCTAATGTTATGGAGGCGCGGGAGGCTACTATGGCCCGATTCCTACATGGGCTAAATAGTGATATAAGGGATGTTATGGAGCTGCAAAATTATGTTGAGTTGGAGGATTTAGTACATCAAGCTTCTAAGGTGGAATAACAATTATAGAGAAAGGGTGCCATGAGGAGGAGTTCATCTAATTTTCACTCTCCTAGTTGGAAGGACAAAAATAAGGAGGGAGGATCATCAACAAGCAATTCCAATGTTATAGCTCATAGAAATCAAAATAAGTCTGATGAGGCACTTAAGAAAACAAGGAGTAGTGAGGTTAAGTGCTTCAAATGTTTGGGAAGAGGTCACATAGCTTCTCAATGTCCCACTAAGAAGACTATGTTACTTAAGGAGGATGGAGAAATAATTAGTGAATCTTCTTCAGATTCTTCATCTAGTGATGAAAATGAGCATGAAGATGAAAGAGAGTTAGAAGGAGATCTATTCATGATTAGAAGGATGTTGGGTAGTCAATCAGTTGAATTGGATGATTGTCAAAGAGAAAATATTTTTCATGCAAGGTGCCTCATTCAAGGGAAGTTGTGCTCTTTGATCATTGATGGTGGGAGTTGCACTAACGTGGATAGTGCACGGTTGGTTTCAAAAATGAATTTGGAGACTAAGCCACACCCGCGACCTTACAAACTTCAATGGCTTAGTGAAGATGGTGAGATGACCGTGAATAGGCAAGTTGAAGTGGGTTTTTCCATAGGGAAATATGAAGATTCTGTTTTGTGCCATGTAGTTCCTATGGAGGCTTGTCATTTACTTCTTGGGAGACCATGGCAGTATGAAAGGAGAGTTATGCATGATGGTTTCACTAATAAGTTCTCTTTTATGCATAAAGACCGCAAAACTACTCTTGCACCTTTGATTCCAAGAGAAGTTAGTGAGGATCAACTAAAAATGAGAAAGAAAAGAAAAGAAGAAAGAAAAGAAAAAGAGAGTGAAAAGAAAAAGGAAAAAGAGGAAGAAAAAGAGAAAGAGAGAAAAAAATCAAATCTATTTATAAAAGAAAAAGAAGTCAAAAGAGCTATGCAATTGAGAAAATCAATACTTTTACTTTTGAGTAAAGAAAGTAAATCAAACCGTCCATGTTTTACTAACTTCCAAAAGAGGTTTCTTCTTTGTTGCAGGATTTTGAAGATGTTTTTCCCAAAGAAGTGCCTATAGGTCTACCCCCTCTTAGGGGTATTGAGCATCAAATTGACCTTATTCCACGAGCTTCATTGCCTAATAGACCAGCCTATCAAAGCAATCCCCAAGAAACCAAGGAGATTCAAAAGCAAGTTGAAGACTTAATGCAAAAGGGGTGGGTTAAAGAAAGCTTGAGTCCATGTGCAGTCCCCGTCATTCTAGTCCCTAAGAAAGATAGAACTTGAAGGATATGCACAGATTGTAGAGCTATCAATAACATCACGGTAAAGTATAGACATCTCATTCCTAGGTTAGATGACTTGTTGGATGAATTGTATGGTGCTTGTATCTTCTCTAAAATTGACTTGAAAAGTGGATATCATAAAATTAGAATTAGAGATGAGTGGAAAACAGCTTTCAAAACTAAATATGGGTTGTATGAGAGGCTAGTTATGCCCTTTGGGTTAACTAATGCTCCAAGCACTTTTATGAGATTGATGAACCATGTCTTGAAAGAGTTTTTAAGGCAAATGTGTAGTGGTGTATTTTGATGATATTTTGATATATAACACTAATTTTGATTTGCATGTTGAACATTTGCGTGCTGTCATAAATGTGCTTAGAA